AGCCCCACAAATGGGACTGCCTGGCTGTGGCTGCCTCCATGCCTCGTCCATGCAGTCAGTAGCGGACAAGAGGGGACAAAATTGGTGACCAGCGCCTGGCCCCGGTGAGGGCTGATGCTCATCGCCAATGCTTAGGGCCATTCCTTGAACCTCTCCACCTCTGGCCATGCTGTAGGAGTGTGACAGCAACCCAGGATGGTCACCTGGGAGCAAAACTGGGAAGAGCTGGGGTGTCTCACCACAGCAGGCACCATGGCACCAGCTCCCGCCCACCCGCCTCAGCATCTCAGACCTGAGCACGTGGCTGCCCCGAGCCAGTCTCCTTGGCCATGGAGAATCCCATGAGGTGCCACTGGTAATTAGTCTCTCCTTGCCTGTTCCTGTAACCTTTCTAGAACAGCTCCTCACACCGCCGCAGACAAGCCCAGCACAGTACAGCAACTCCATTTCACATAGCTGTCACGGCAAATGGTCTCCAGTGACTCTTCTCCATGGTAAAGGGCCAAGTGATGCCTCCCCTTCCCTCCAGACCCCTCCCAAGCAATCCCCTCCATGAGAAAAACAGCGGAGTTCAAAGCAGCCCCACCAAAACCTTACCGTGGCTTCGTGCTACCTTCTCCAGGTCTCTGCGTGAACAGGAAGGGAGAGAGGGCATCCCTAGTCACAGTAAGAGCACCTTCGGCCTCTGCGCCTCTCCATCACCCAGGCCATGGCTCCCAGCCAGCCTGCCGACCTGGGCAGTGATGCCCCCCTCAAAGCTTTGATTCGTCGCTGCCTTGATGATGAAATTCAAGAAAGAAAATGGAAGCCAGATCCCTCTGTTTCACGGGACCTTCCCCTGCCCCACCAAGGAGGCACGGAGGAGCAGGCGGGCGGTGGAGACCCCCCAGAGACGGGGCACCCGCAGATGGGGAATGCAACGGGTGACACCTGGGAAGGTGGTTACGGCATCTCCCACCCCACCGCTGTTGTCGTTCCAGCTGAATTGCTCTTCTCTCTTTCAGTTTGCTCCTCACCCCTTCCTGCTCTTTGGGTCTTGCTCGATCTTCCTTCCTGCCTGTGCAGAGCCGCCAGACTGCTGTGTATGCAAATTGATGTATTTACTGAGAAACCCATGGCCTCAGCGCAGCACCTTGTAACCACCCACATCCTATCTGGTAACCCCCACACATCAGCGCTGCTGGGCCCACCTCAGCAGGACAGGAAGATGTTCAGTGCACGGCCGTTTCCCAAGCCATGGCTGCTTTCTCCCAGGAGAGCTGCAGCTCTTCTCAACAATGTACAAATTAAAATAAATTCCCTAGCAGCAGAAACCACAAGGAGCAGGAGAACCAAGATGGGGTTTTTTTCTGCTTCATACATGCTCACCAGCCATGAACATGAAGCTGGATCTAAAACCATGGGGAGAGCTCAACAAGCAGGCTCGTGTCACAGCAGCTCCTCCCGAGCTGGTTCCCTTTGCTGGGCCACGCGAGGAAACATTTTGATTTTCCCTCCACTAGGAAATTCAAGTTGTATCTTGAAAACATTGAAAGAGCAGAAGGGGCACGAATCAATCCTCCTTCCTCCAGCACCGTTCTTCTGCCGACGTTGAATGTTTTCTCTCATTCTCAGGTCATTTCTGAACAGATGGACCAAGGCTCGCCACGGAGCAGCGTGTTTATAACGGAGGAGCCGGGGCTGCCGCGGCAAACGGGGGCTCGTTCCCACGGGCTCTGCGTTGCTGGGCTTGCTAGAAACGGTCTGCAGGAGCGGGGCTGGCGTGAACGCCCCATCTCTCAGTTCAGGCAGGTGATTTTGATCCGCCTTTTGTATTTCGGTTCATTCTGCTTGGCTATGCAAAAGCCCACCTTGCAAATGCTGTATGTTTTGCTGGCATTTAGATGAATCCTGTTAATTTTGAGAGGCCAAACTGACAGCGGCCCGCGACGTTTGTGCTGGCTAAGCGGGCAGAGTGGAAGAGCACTTCTGCGCCGTGACCGAAGGCACATCTGCTTTCCTTGAATCCAGGTGCAGAAGTCAGTGCCCAGGAAAGGGAGGGAAGGGTCTTTCACCAAAATGATGGGATCATCGAGTGGCAAGGTGGGGTTTGCTCCCATCCCGTGTCATGCGCGGCGGCTCCGTTTTTCAGGCCGCCAGCTGCCGCTGCCAGGGGTGGCTTGGGAGTGGTTGGAGTAAGCAAAAGTTTGCGATCAAAACAAATGAAAATAGCACATCCTGTTATGATAACTGCCCGGGCGGGATCAGTTTATATCTCGCAGGTAACTCGAGTTAAGCTGCATCTAAATGAATAATTGCACACCTGTACCAAAGAGACCAGACAACATTAGCAAGTCCCCTGTGAAGCGGCTTTCCTGTGGGACCGGGATAAATGTTTCCTTTTGCCTGGTAAGGGGTGGCCCTGCGTGTTCAGCACAGAAACCCTTTCCGTCCTAGAGTACAAAAATAGTCCTAGAGTACAAAAATACAGTAGCAGAAACAATATCCATCAATCATCTCTCATTTAGAGAAGATCGAGGGCTTGAGAAGATCGGTTCCAGAGCTGGACAAAGTTTTAGGGCTGTGCCCAGGAGAGGGTGTTTCTCAGGCAGGGTCATTCCTCTGTTATTTCTCAGGTGCATTTGTTCAACGGCAGTACTTAGGCTCACCAGGGATTATGTGTTACGATAGTTTTGAGCCGATCTCTTTCCTACATGTCACACCCAGTGGTAGGTCACGTCCTGGTAACGCAACACGCGTGCCCTTTGGGGGCACTTCCCATCCGCCTTCTCACCGGGCCTCTATCCGCAGCAGTGGGAAATGGCTATCAAGCACGACGATAACGCCAGCTGGTTTGCGTTTCCTTTTTGACCCCAGCCAGAAGGTTTCTTCTGCAGCCAAGCCTGGCCTCTCCTGCCCTGCGCT